AGCTTCGATGTTCTCATTCGTGTGATCGGGGCTAAACACCTGCCTCCTAAAAGCACTGTGATGGCGACAAGAGGTGACAGGGCCACAGGTCATTAGCACAGCCTAGTACCTAACCCGGGATAGGGACAAGTCAGTGATCAGTATGCATAGTGAGTCTAACTTAAGCATGCAACGACAACAAATCGCAAATGTCTAGGAGGTACAAGAAGGAGCCCTGCTGGTATAGTGGTTATGCACTGGGCTGAGCTCCGCAAAGCCCGCAGTTTGAACCCATCTGCCATTCCACAGGAGACAGGCAGGGCTGTCTCCTCCCGTTAACAGTTAAAGTCTTTGAAACTCACGGAGACATTTCTACCCTCCCCGATAGAGTTGGCATCAACTCGGAGACAGTGAGTTTGGCTTTGGGGTTTTAGGATGTACAAATGCTCCTTCAGGTTCCAGAACCTGCCAGAAAACCTCTCCTGCTCATGTTTGTGAGAGGCAGTACCGTCTAATGGTTAAGGAACAAGAATGTCAGGCTGAGACCTGAACCTCAGTCCTGACACTGCCAGCCTTGAACCCAGATGAGTCACCTCCCCCTCCCTCTCTCAACGAATAAGAAGCTTTCATAGAACAAGGGCCAGGTGGGACAGTATCTCCTAAACTCTGGGGAGACCAGACTTACTCTCTGGAAAGATGCGCTACTGCAGATTCATCTTTGCACTTCGCACAGGCCCTTGCATGCGATAAGAGCAGATTAGACACACAGAAGCCAGCAGAGATGGGGGAGATAGATACCACACCACAGGACTCGTGCACGGTGGCCTTAAGAGATAGGCGTGAGTGGGGGAACGAGTGAATGAGAGGAGAGGTCAAGTGGCTGGGAACAGAGAAGTGGCAAGACATCTGGCCAGGAAGATCCTTCATGGGCTCAGGAGTCGGACGGTTCAGATCCCAGCTGTGGCCCCCAACCAGCTGTGTGTGGTCTCATAGGTGATGTCACCACTCTGAGCCTGTGTGTCCTCATCACGAGCATGGGAGGAGGCTGGATGGACTTGCCCTTGGCTCTGTTCTAAATGTCTGTTAGTCCCCTCATGCTCTCCCATGTCTGGGCCTTTAGTCAGTGACTCAGGTTAGCCCATCAGAGCTCAGAGGGATGCACCCAGGTGCGCTATTTTGTATGGCACCTGCCACGTTATTCACTCACTCACATTCTGTTTTAGTGCACGGGGACGTAAGGATGGCCAGCCCTGAATAGCTTGGACAAGATGGACCCAACCTAGATGTCCCCAAATGGAGAATTGGACTTCAATGAAGGCCCGCCCACATGCTAAAATGCCAGGCAGCCATGGGAAATGATGAGGTTGTCATGGAAACATGGCCAGTTTTATGTTGTTAAGAGAAAGGGTAGGTGGTTGTTGTTTGAAGGACATGATCATATCATTAAAAAATACATGTATGTCCATATCGTGTACATTGATGTATACTTTTCTAATCATTGAAGTGAGAAACCGTCTGTAACCTGACCACCCTCATGTTAACAGGAGTGGTCTCAGATTGGAGGGCTTACTCCTAGCTCACCTGTCTCTGATGAATTTATCACAGTAAGCATGTAGCACTTGGGTAGTAAGGGGGAAAAAATAAGGCGTTTGATACTATCATACTATTATGAAACAGTGGCTGTCTACAGAAAGGAGGTCCATGAAAGCATTGGTTGAATGAATGCATGAATTTATACAAGACTTCCTGCTTCCTGTCAAGACTCTGGCTGGTGCTTAGTAAGGCTTTGTGGGCTGAGAGATGGTGCTTGCTTCTCAGCCCCTCGGAAGGTGGGGACTGCGTCACCTTGACTTACAAGGGGCAGAGCAGGACTCGAGGTCACATGGGAAGCCACCAAAGCCACTGCGGGTTGAAGGAGTCCTTCATTCAATCCTCTCCCAGCCATCTGAGGGGAAACTGAGGCCCAGAGAGTGGAAGGGCTTGTCCATGGTCGCTCAATTAGAGATGGCTGCGTCAGGGTTTAAACCCAGGGCTGTCCTGTTCTCAAGCCGGGGTGTTAGGACTTGAATCATGTCCCCACCCACCCCTACCCCCTCCCAGCCCCGCCCTGCAAAATACCCTGTGGTTATCATCCCATTTGGGAGTGGATTTTCTTTGTTATGCTAAGAGGTCATATTAGTGAAGGGTGTGTTTAAGCCCATCATCCTTAAGATTTAAAAAGAATAGATAGCAACGATGAAACATATAACTTTCCTCTAGTTCTGAAATGCTTCCTCCCCCCCACTATCATGATCCCAATTCTACCTTACAAATCTGGCTAGACCAGAGGATGTACATTGGTACAGACAGCAACTGGAAACACAGGGAATCCAGGGCAGATGACTCCTTCGGGACCAGTGGTGAGAGTGGCGATGCCTGGAGGATGGAG